AGATCATTAGAAGTACAGTTAGTCAGTGTCATGTGGGGAAACACATGATAGAGAATATGTGCATTGTAAGGTCTCTCAGACATCAGCAAGATGTGTGACTTAATAAAGCTGGGCAGTATTAACTTTCTGCATTGGATACCAACATTGCAAAGTCCTCCTCATTGACGCCTGGGGACTTGAGCCACAATTGCTGAAGCTATCTCACAGACCAGTCTATTGCAGGTCTTGCCATAACCCATCACGTATAGTGGTGGACAATTAAGTAACTAAAGGGAGTTAGAACAATTTTGGAGACTGTATGTGGTGTGACAAAAGGTGAGTAATGTATATGAATTTTAATATCGTTTATTTTAGAGTTCAGATTTTAAACTGGTGGGTTTGGTCTGAGTGTATGAAGGAATTTAATGAATAATTGTCAGTATTTTTAAAACCAAGATGACAGAGAATCCCTGGAGTGACAATGGGAATTTGTTTGCATTGTGAGAGCACTGTAATTGGACAGAGTAAACATTGTAAAACATGATCTTACCTTCAGCTTAGAAGAGTCAAGAATTGATTTTATTTAGTTTAGGGGAAAACTCATAGCTTGGAAAGCTTTTGATTTCAGTTTTGCAGAAGTTCCTGGAAAAAGAAGATATTTCAGAAAATTTAGGAACTACGTTTCCTCAATGTAAGGACCTTGGTGAAATTCCAGACCATAATATTTATTTAGAACCCTGAAGGGTTTATTTGAAGCAGAGAAAATCTAATCTCATTGTGTGAATAATTAGCTATCAAACTGTCAAGACTGGGAATAGGAAGAACAATTAAGTCAAATATGATGGAGAGGGGTATTATTTCTGGTGTTTGCATACTGTAAAGTGATTGTGTAGGGATAAATGGGTTTGTATTTTTGCCAGCAAAATCTTTCCGATTGTGTTTTATGTAAATATTTTGGTTTATTCTATTTTATCTTAATTTCCTTTGTATAATAAACTAAGGTTTTATTGTTAAAACCAAATCTGCAGTGTGCATGCTTGTGAGTCAAAGTCTATGTTATTAAATTTTAAAAATCTGCCAGGCCAGATTTCAGTCTTGGATCTGAATTGTCCAGTGATACCATCAGCTGGATCATAACAATGAACTTCAAGGGGTTAAGGAAGCTGCTCACAACATTCTTCTGAAGGGCAGTTAATGTTGGACAATAAATATTGGTCTTTCCAGTGATGTATACATCCCATGAATGATTTTTTTTTTAAAAATCATCTGTTAATTAGTAGTGTTGGTTATGTGATAGGTATTTGGTTAGTACACAAGGATAATCTTTGAATAATGGCTCTTACTCCACCAGAGAGGGATGAGGGGGCCTCAGTTCAGCATCTGATTTAGAAATGGCCCCTCAGATGGTGTAACATTCCCTGAATTGACCACCTAGATTATATGCTCACATTTCTAAAATGGGGCTTAAACTCATGGACTTTCTGATTCGGAGGCTTTAGTGAAGATTTGTCCAAGAATAATATACTATTTTTTCCACCTTCAGCTTTATGCTCCTCCTGGGAATACGTCTAAAACTCTAGTATTTGCACAGTTTTTTTTTTTTAAATTCTGCAATTCTGTTACTAACAATGTGAATATCCTCTCGATTCCCCACACCTACCACCTCATTACTCATTCAAACTGCCTCTATATCTCTTTGTAGCCTTTTTGTGTTCTCCTCACAACTTGCACTCTCATCTACCTTTGATTTGTCAGCAAACTTAGATGCATTGCTATGTCTCTTTAAGTCACTAGTTTTAATTAGAAATACGGTAAAGTCTTGATGAATCAAATTACATCGGAATTCCTGCAAGATTCAAGTCGAATATAGTTTGGTGATAATCACGGTAGTCCCAAGGTGGCAAGCCTAAAACTCATAGATGATAGCAGAGAAAGTGAACGGGCAGTTACAGGATCAGAGGCTTGTATGGAAATGCTTCGAGATTTTCAGACTTTTGGACAGGCTACAAGCTTGAACGAAAAGGGCAGAAATATTCAGAGCATTTCCTATCAAAATATTGCATTGTAAATGCCTGAATCACTATTTCTTTTGACGACTGCTCGTTCAATGCTCTGAATCCTTCTGCCTTTTTCTTTTAAACTTGAAATCCGTCCAAGAGGAGCGTTTCCTCTTTAGATACCTAGAAATCACGAGTGATTTAAGAAGGCAGCTGGTCCAATATTGTCCATTTCCAAGTTCGGCTAATCTAGAGTGGCCAGAGCAAATGTTCAGTTCATTATAGGCATTTGGAATCAGGATTTGATATTCTGCTCACAAAAACAGAAGTTGCAGGAAAAGCTCAGCCAGTCCGGCACCATCTGTGAAGAAGACGTCAGAGTTAACGTTTCAGGTCCAGTGACCCTTCCTCAGAACAAGAAACATTTTCCTTTCAGGCATCAAGGCACACAAGATGCAACAACTCGGAGATACCCATGGCCCTCCGGAAAATTCCTGTCTTCCCCTTCCCTCTAACTCCATCCCCTCCCCCAGCCCCACCTCCTGTTGGGTATTCACCATCCCTCCTAACCTTCTGCTTTCCGATGCTGAATGTCCTGTAGTCAGCAAAGGCCTCAGCTTTATTCCTCTGCATCCCCACCTCAATGAATTTTGGGCACGACATGACATCGAACTCTTCTGCCGTCTTCGCCTCCGTGTCCATTTCTTTGGACAAGAGTCCTCTCCCCGTCCCACAGACCTTTTCGTCCAGTTCCAGCACTCTACCTCCACCTGGTCCCCTCCCTCTGGCCTCTTACCTGCACTCAATCTGTTCATTGAGAACTGTCGACGTGATATTAGTCGCCTCAATTTCTCTGCCCCCCTCAACAAATCCAACCCATCTCCCTCTGAATTGACTGCACGCCATGTGTTTTGATCTAACCCTGTTCTGAGGAAGGGTCACCCGAAGCGTTAACTCTGATTTTTGTTCTTCACGGATGCTACCAGACCTGCTGAGCTTTTCCAGCAACATCCTGTTTTTGTTCCTGATTTACAGCATCTGCAGTTCTTGTCAGTTTTTATTTGATACTCTGCTGGCAGGTCTAACTGATGCTTGTGATACAACGGGAACTTGGAGTTATCCCATTTGGTTGTATAACCATTTCAGTGTGGCAGAGACCCCAATGCTGATTCTTTTGATATTTTACTGATCATAATCTGCCAACTTTTAATTGCTCCTACTCTTCTATCCCTACTCATTGCTTCTTCTCTGTTAACCAGTCATCTATCCATACCAATGTGTTACCCCAATTCACAGAGCCCTTATTAAATCAAAATACTGACATACTGGAGATCTGAAATAAAAATAGAAATTCAGCAGATCTGGCAACATGCATGGAGAGAAAAGCTGAGTTAATATTTTAAGTTCAACATGACTCGTCTTCAGAAGAATCTCCAATTCTGAAGAAGTCATATTGGACTTGAAACGTTAACTCGGTTTCGATCTTTGCAGATGCTGCCAAACCCCCTCAGTTTCTACAGCAATATTTCTCTTTATCCCTGAGCTCTTAAATTGCATACTGATCTTTTAGCTGGTGCTTTACCGAATGCCTTTTGGAAATTCAAATGTATTACAAGCTCCTCTTTATCTTTCCTACTAATTACGCATTCAGAAAGCTGTAATGAATTTTTCAAGCATTATTTCCCGGTTGTAAAACCACGTTGACATTTGTTCAATTATACTATAATTGTCTCGGTGTGTTGTTAAGACTTCCTTAACAACAGATTTTAGCATTTTACAACTGGCACAGAGCGAACTGACCTACAGCTCTCCATTTTCTTTACTCCGTCCTTTCTTAAATAGTTGTGTTACACTATCTTTTAGAATTTCATTCAGTTCCCAGCGTGAGTCAATTCCTGTGATTTTGACAGATTTTAGTTTGAGCTTCTTCATTTCTTTTTCCCTAGTGATATAGTTTATCTTTACTTCCTTATTAGCTCCTTGATTACTCTCTCTTTCTAGGCTCTTGGTTACTCTCTATTTTTGGTATGTAATTTGTATCTTCTGCTGTGAAGGCAAATACAAATGTTTGTTCAATTGTCTCTGTCATTTCCTCATTGCCTATAATAATTTATCCTGTTTCTCCGTCTAAAGGACTGATGTTTACTTAGCTCTTCTCATTTTTGTATACCTCTAAAGGTCCTCACTTGTTTTTATATTCCTGACTCATTTGCTCTCATTATATTTTTTTTCCTTTCTATCAACTTTATTGATGGTCCTTTGCTGGTTTATAGAACACTCCCGAACTTCAGACTTAGTACTGTAGTCTGCAGCATTTAAAGCCCCTTCAGTTAATCTTAACATTATTCTCAATTTGTAAGCCATGGACAGATTCTTTTTGCTGAGATTCTATTTTCCAATTTATTTTTGTTGAACATTTGAATTGTTTGTTTATTTCTTACTGTTTATTCATTGCTGCACTTTGCAGTCTATTTACATAATCAACCTTAGCCAGCTCCCTCCTCTTGGCTTTGTAATTGATTTTGCTGAAGTTCAAGATTCTCATTTAGGACCAAATTTATTGATTTTGAGCTTAATATGGAATTTGGTTGTATTATGATTACATTTTCACATCACATCTTTTCCTCAGATTACTAATTAACAATTTCTAACTACTCAGGAGGAGATCCCAAGTAGATTTATTTATTGTTGGTTTCAATGACAATACCTTCTGCTGCTATCTGACAGATTGTATTGACAATAATCATTTTTTGACCCAATCATTGAACCCTTCCTTCTCACAAATATTAGTGAAGTTGGATTTGACTCTAAATTTGCTCAAAGTACAAATAATTTTTTTGTTGCGTAGTTATTTAACTAAACTAGCATTGACAGTCATTATTGTTTTGAAACGTGTTGGTGATGTTCACAATCTTACATCATTAATGTTACTAGAAATTAAACTTTATTTTCATGATGACAAATTGGTAAGTGGCAAGTTTTCTATTACGTGAATTTTTTAACATTCTCGTTTCTTTCAAGCAGATTGGAAAAAGTAGCAACGTATCTTTATCACAGTCCAGTCCTTCAACTACAACAAACCCTGTACATGGTAACAGACAAGTAGGTATCACAGTTTTACACCAATACTAATGGTTGCAGATGTGCAGCATATTTTGGTGACCATAAGGTGGCAAGATAGATTTTCAGTTTTTAAGTGTAGCCTTTGCATAAATCTGTGGGACCTCCTGGAGCTTTATGTTTACTTCAAAATTGCTGTCTAATGATACCAGTTACAAGATAAATGACTGTTTATTATGTTGCTTGTACAGTTTTACGATAAGCAGCATTCATACATGGAATGTATTGACATTTTAACAGATTGGCCGTGACAGCATTGATACTTGAACTTAGTTTCCTGTTCACTTCAAACCACACTGTAAGGAAGAGAAACTTTGGATGCAATACTGAAAGAAAAAGCTTTAAATTCTAATGTAAAATAACCTCTTCCCTTAAAAACCAAGAAGCTGATAGTAGAGATTTCCTTGAAGTAATTTAATCCCTTTAAAACTTTGCTTGGCTCCCAGCAAAGGAAATTGATTAAAACAAATACAGCTATAGAACTATAAATTCTGATCCTGTTAAGTGTATAACTGATTTTTCCATGTTTATTTTTCTGTGTACAGCGTGTCAGAGATTGATAGTCCCTTTGAAGAATGCTTGTAGTACTTTTGAAGTTCATTTTTCTAGAAGATTGTTGTTATCTGCTGAAATTATAAAAACGTGTACTGTTACCTAAAGAACTTGAATTGCAACATTGGCTTTGGCTTGTCAATAGACAATAGATGAATAATTGACAGATTAGTATTTGTAATGATGAGAATATTATACCATCTGCAAAATATATTTCAGAAAACCTCTCTGCTGGAAAACGTTCCCAGAAAACATAATTACACATGCATCTTCTAAATTTGCACTTTTTAAAAGGAAATATCTGTAACTCTCAACTCTAACTGTTTAAAAAAAAATCTTGTAGTTAGTACCCAGCTGGATCAACAGTTGGGAGAAAGCTGAAGTTATGAGAAAGAACATCTTTTATTGCTTGGATTCTTAGGATTGCAGCTGGATACTGTGATTATTGAAAAACCATTTATGCAGTCATTAGACTGACCGGGCTGAATTTTACTACAGCTAAGACCAAGTATGGGTGAGCTGGTGATTTCCCATTTCTAGCTACTGTGCTAGTTTGCCAGCTTGGTCCTGCTTTAGTGCCATTTTAGAACAAACTGGGTTGTGGGACAGGATTGGTGACAGCTACCTGCCTGCAACCTGTGCATGTCTAATTAAAGATCCTACTTAGGCCACTGTGCCAATGCCAACTAAAATCTTAGTCCCCTGCAGAGCCTGAAAGGGATGGAGGTGGTAAATTGTGGGCTTGTGCACTACCCTCCACCCCACCCCACCCCACATTGGTGATAACTGCTATGGCCACCGGCCATCCAGTAGAAGCATTGCTCCTCCACAATGACAACCTCTCAGTTGTGTCCTCTCCTATCATTTGTTTACTAAGGGCTTCTCCATTTTGAAGTGCCACCTTTCTCTTGGATCTGCATCAACAGTTCCAATCTCGAATGGTGAATCTGGTTATCTTTCAGTGCTGGGAGACCGCCTCCTCCACAATTGTTTCCTCAGTCCCACTGCTGACATCTCTGTATTCATAACCCAGAATTCAGGATCAGGATGCTGGGAACCAAGCACCAGCCCACTGTCTCTGGTTTCTACTCGAGAAAAATTAGGAGTGAATATTCCTATTCTTAGAGCAAGTAACAAGCCTTATTTTAGGACCATGAGTAAGTCATTCCATTTGTACCGAGCTTGATTGACTCACGTCTCCAAGCACAGAATGAATTTCAGTCATTATTAGTACAGATTGATATTCCAGTTTGCGACAGAACAGTGGGTTTTTGAAGTTTCAAGGTGGGCAGAATAAGGATTATCATGTTGGTAGCCACTCCTCTTTTCCTGTATATGAGGACAAATTGCACCTTAAAGGTGTGAAATATACAAATGTAATTATTGTTGGTATTGGTCAATCATGCTTCATAACAGATCATTGATGCACTGACAATGATGAGAGTCATTGACATATCCAGAGGCTGAGTCATTCTCAGTAGGGTAGTATCATTAGTATAACAGAAGTGGCAGGGGGTAGAATGGTGATTTTTTTTTTCAAAAGCTGTAACTTCCATAATGAGCACAAGAGCCTGTGCCAATTTGGATATTTATAATTGTTTCCAGGCTCTATGAAAATGTTTTGTAGATTTATGATTTCATAGAATTTTGCATATGTAGTGTTCTGTGTAAATCTTTTGGTTACTGGATTCCTGTCATAAATTGGGTGTACTCATATTCAGATAGTTGTGTATCTGTTATGAATGGTGCTTATTGTCCTTAGTGAATTCTCTGCCTTTTTAATTATCATCTAATCTTAATCTTGGTTCAACCTTTCCTCAGCCTAAATTTTCTGTGTGTGTGTGTGTGTGTGTGTGTGTGTGTGTGTGTGTGTGTGTGTGTGTGTGTGTGTGTGTATTTACCAAATTATGACCAATTTTGTTTTGTCAATACCTCCATTTAAACATATTATTGCTGTATTTAACAAACTCTGTTTTCGCTTCCCTCTGTTTATGCGAGAGATTAATTTTAATTGTCTCTTTTTACAGCCAAAAGTTCATCAGTGAAAGCTGACTTTATGAGGTAATAGTCTAAGACAGTGGTTACAAATGACACTGGTACTTGCCTTCAACTGTTCGATGGACTGCATCGATAAGATGAAAACCTCTGCTCTGAAGACGTGAAGAGCCCTCCCTCTCAGCCAATACCTCCTAGCGGCCTTTTCCCCCGTTCTTTTAGCAATGGTGAATGAGTGTGCGATGACTTACCAATCATTCCTTTATTGTCGGTGCGAAAACCCTATTTCACTTGTTCTCTTTGGTGGTTTAGGGATGCCCAATACAACGCAATATAACAAATTCTAGAAAAGCCACGATAATCATGATTTTATTTCCCTTCACTCCTTCCCATGGGGATAATTATAATCAGCAATGTTAATCATGATCTAAACGATTTGGCAAAAGCATAAAGCTAAACGTTATCAAAATCTATTTTTTATCTGGATGTTTTTTAAAATTGTTGGCAATTGGCAGGATTTATGGAATCCAACCTGATTACAATTTGTATCCCTATAGGTTTTATATAAAGGATATATCCAATCATTTAAAATGATATGTGACATGGCAGGTTTTGCGCAGTGTGAGACATTTAAGGAAAATGTCTGACCTTTGTTGTACCAGCACTCAGTTTAATATTGCATTTGTAATTCGATCCCTGAAGGGACCCAGTTACTAGAAAACAAAAATCTACATTTTTACATACAATTTTTTTTTGCCGATGACAAATTACCATTTTAAACAATGAAGAGGCTAATGGAAACGTGGTTGCTGCCAGCTTTGTATCAGAGGATGTTATAACAAGGTGGAGTTTTCTAGTTTTATAATGTCATGAGTGTATTTGCAGGGGGACTGTTGAGAGATAAGTCCAGAGCAAGGGTAAAGGAAGTGTTAATGATGTTTTATAATTCAGTGTTAAAAGTGCACTTATTTGTGATGGATTCTTCCCAATTAGAAAAGGGCAGGTATGGATTAACAAAGGACAAGGATGTTCTTGTAATAGGGATGGATTTTTAAGGTTTTTAATAATGGATAGTAGTTAAAAGAGAAGGACATTCTGTAAAATAAACTAAAGCTGGTGTGCAGAGACTGTTAGAATGAAGTTATGGCACAGAGAAATATTTTTCGTAAGCTAATCATCATCCTCCCAGTTCTTCTAATTGTTCATATTAATTTTCATTAATTTATGATTTATCATTTTATTAATGCTCTAACTGACCAGGATAGGTTCAGACATAGAATTTAGGAAAGTCAGAAGTTGTGCGTTTATATATTTTTTAAATAAATTTGGATTGAACTTTTGCTATGTACATTTTGTTAGACTGAAGATTGTGTACATATCTGTTGTTATTTTTGCACAGATGTTTGTCATGGTTAGCTTAGGAGCTTATAAGTATTTTAATTTTTCTAATTTATTGTGGGTTGTTATAAAACTACAGGGGGTGGGAAATAATTCCCAATAATTAGAATAATTTTTATATATATATTATGAAACAAAAGCTGAAGTCTGTCGTGAATACAAATTTTCCTTCTGAAACTGGCTGTGCTCGTCAGAAACTGCTATAGGGCAGTGAGATGCAAAAGTAGTCCATGACTGAAGGGGACAATTTGGTAACCATAAAAGGTGTCAGTGCTTGCCCACATGGTGGGTTTTAGTATTGCATATTATACCAATACAAATCATGGACGCAATGCATAAGCCTGTCAGCCATAAAGAGACAGCAGAAATACTGTATGCCTTCTTTTGTATTAATGTAACAATTGTATATAAAGCTGATCAAAAACTTTGTAGAAAATAGTTTATACAGCATTATTATATTATTGCTGAATCTCAGTGAATTCTTGGGAAAAGAAAGTTTTTCTATTTACACCTTATTTTTTGTTACACTGTTGACCCATGGCATTTTGACAAAACTCTGTGGGTTTTGCATTGCTGGTCAGTCATGGGTGTGTTAATACTGCTGTTGCACAGACAAGAATTTGCACCTGCCTCATTGTGCTTTCCTACTGCAGAATTCAATTTATCCCCCATTCAAAGATAATGAAAGCATGTAAAAATAATCCTGCGTGCCATACTGTAACTGTTCTGTTTTTGTAAATGGATTTAATAACACTACGTATTTTCAATTTGCTTTGTGCACTTTTCTTTTTCATCTCTTCCTCTACCAGCCCCCACTCCCACAGCAGTGTCATTGCATTCATTTCATGCCTACCTTCATCTTTGTGGTATTGTTAACAGAATGGTGTCTAGAATAGCTGTAAATAGTTAATTTGATGGCGTACAGAGAAAATAAATGGAACAAACCTTGTTTCTGATTGATACTGCCATGGTTCAACACCCAGCTTGGAGATATTCTCTAGTGAGGGATGTTTTATTTTGTTTTGTTTTGTAACAGGCTTTGTAAATAAAAAAATAATTTATATGTTTGTAAGAAGTACATTTTCCTGTTGTATCTTTACTCCAACTTGATCAATTGTTCTGCTTTATTTTTTTCAATCAATGTGACACAATGGTTGTCATGATAATTGACATAGAATTTGTGTTTGTGAAAAATCGTTTTGGTTTTGCATTAGTACAAATAGTCCCGTGGAATTTGGCATTTAGTCAAAGGTGGTTGATACCATTTCTGAGAATTGATGCAGGACAACTGTGATAGGTGCAATACCAAGCTTGTGTTCCCAGATTTGTCCAATAATATCTTTTAAAGATAATTTTAGAACTTTTAAATGTTAATGATGACAGTGGTCAATATTTTCACATTGAGTCTTAATTAGGGTGCAGATAAAATAAGCCAGGTTTAGTATGTACATACAAGCACGTGAGCAGAACAAATTTGATCTGGCCAAAGAGTGACGTAGTGTTAGCAGTGTAACCTGGGCCTATGAACTATGCGACATTGCCAGCAGATGTTCAGTAAAACCCACCATACAATGATATCTGGGACATATTTAAATCTTACTTTAGGACAAGAAAGGTCTGTCTGTGCAACAAATCTTTAACTGTCTCCTGTCGAGCAATTCTAACACCTACATCCAAGCTCTGAATCAGCTGAACCCACGAGTTAGTTTGCCCCCATTACATTTAGCACAATTCGGCTTATAGTCTTTTGGCAGCAAAGACTAATTGAAGACATATGACCAGAACTTTAGTGCTCAAATCTGCTATGGTTTATTCCTAAATTAGATAACTGAACCTGTATGGCCAGACATATAATTCTGATTACATGATAATCTGATATTTTCATTTGATATCAAATTAAATATAAATTGTTCCTGTTGAGCAAGCTTTAAAGGGAAAGACAAGTCTATTTAAAACTTAAAATATTTCAGTTAGTAAGCTCATTGGAAGTAAATCATTTCTGAGGACCCTGAGTTACATTCCACTGTGATTATGTAGTCCACTGTACAATATTACACCAGTGGTTTCATCTAAATTAGCTTCTTGAATGACAAGTAAGTCAAATGTAGGAGACAGACAGGTAAGTAGAGGCTGAAGGCAGATGAAACATCTAATGGAATGGTGAAACAGGTTTAACAGGCTGAATGGTCTACTCCTATTCACATGTTATGTCTGTGCATGTTCTGTCTAATGGTTCATCATCTCTATCCCTAGATTGTAACTGTGCATAATAACATTTCACAAAAGGGGTACAAATTTTAAAGCAAAATCTATAAAATTAGTGGAGGGGTTTAACCAATTACCTTTTGAAATGCATTTTACTGCATTTATTATCTTCTGTACAGTTCAGTATTTTGATAGTCTGCATTACAGTCAGAGGAATTCTTTCAACTCAGTCCAATGATCAGTAATAAAAATACTCCAAGTAGATCAGCATCTTCAATTTGTGCTAGTTCATGCTATCTCATATGTAGTTGGGGATTTAGTATGAGTGTATCATGGTTTGAGTGCCAACTTTCTTGGTGAGATCTACGTTTTGTCCAACTTTGTGCCCTTCTTTAAAATGTGCAATTTGTAAACTTCCATTAATAACGGAGAGTGAAAGGATCCCTAAAGGTTACTATTCATTCATTTGATTAATTAGTATTGTATGTGTATATGTCAACACTTGGACCAATTCCTGATGTCCTGCCTAATATGGCATCTTTATATCTCTTGACATGAGAAATTATACGTAATTTTTATATAAGAATTAGGACCATAATTTTGATATTCATTCAGAGTGAGCTTGAATTCAAATGAAAGAATCTACATAATTACATGCTGGCATCAATTGGGGAAACAATACTCAATAAACTAGAAGATGAAGCCAAACAAGGTGAGCATTGAGATGTTCGCTGGCACGCACATTTATGCACAAGATCTCACTTTAGGATCAGCATTCACATAGGTGTCCGATATATCTGCTCAATTTAGATTAAACCACTACTATGTTGAAGTAATTTTAATTCGCTACTTCAAATTTCTAACCTCATAAATTTGTAATTACCAAAGTTTAATCTAGTTCTGATTTTTTTTTCCAGATAAGTTTGGAAGGATGAAGTCTTTCATTTTACTTCGAATATTTTTCCCATAACTCAAGTGAACATAGTACAAAATTTCATATACTAATATTTTGGGCTCTCTAGAATGCTTTGAGCTCGTGTTCACAGCAAAAAGCTGTTTCCATTCAGACCACTTTCTTTTATACCCTCAGGAATTGCAGAAATGGAGTAATGTTCAATGGGAATAATTACCCTTGAACTTTGATACGTGCATTGGAGACCACATAGGATACTTGCTGCATTCCCTGAGCAGTTGATCATCCCTGACTGCCCATCAGAGAAGCTGGACTGATCGTTGATATGTCATGAGTGGTGAAGGAGGTGGTGAAATTGAATATCACACATGTACAAGTGCACATAGATGACAGTTAATCACATCTCAACATAAAGACAAAGAAAAGGGGTTCACGATTCTTGGGTCACATTAGATTTCAGCAAGGAATTCAGTAAGTTTGCTGGTAATTAGAATGCATAAGAGTGCATCCATGCAGTGGTAATGTACAAAGAGATGAGACAGAAGTTACAACAGAGGAACAGCAAGGTAGCAAATACTACAGCGATGTCAATGAGAACAACTAAGGAGAGTGTGCCAAATTCAAAGTTACAATGGATTCAGTTCATTACTTTTAGAAGGGCACTGTGGGTCCTGAGTCTATTTTGAAAATTGGATCGAAGGGACGGTAGAGCTTTTGAGCAAGCCAGATTGACGAGGTTTGTTGGAGTGAAAGAAAAATTGAGATTGTGAGGGTGTTAGAAAGGGAGCAGCTACATTTTATCTCCAGGAGCAGTAGAGATAAATTTGGGGGATAAAAGCACATTTTTATGCAATTGTTTATGCTAATGTTGTATACAGACTAATCTGTCAACTGCAGAATACTGTAAAGGAAAGCAATGAAAATGTAACTAATTCCTTCCTATTAAAATAATGGTAATCATTTTCAAAAATGGTTTTCAAGGAATCAGAATGGTGCTAGAGAAAATAAATTGTGGTTACCAGCAAATGAATACAAACAGCAGTGGAAAGTATATAAGACACTGTTTAATCCTGGATTTATATAACTTGTTAAAATACAAGAACAAACTATTCAGTAATGACAAAAGAATAAAGAAGAAAAGGTAAAATTGAAACTAACAGTAATGCTAGACATCAAGTATCAAGACCAGAAAGGAAAAAATATTAAATGTAAAAAGGTTTGGAAAGAAGACAAAACAATTAGTGAGCAAAGAGAAACTACAAACTTAAACTGTCAAAGAACATCAAAAACATAATATTTGGCAGTCATCAATAACAATAGAAATAACCAATTAATAATTCAAACAATAAACATTCGGGTAATGGCAATGAGATGGCAACAAATAATTAATCTGGATACTTGCCCGAAAAAACTAACATGATGAGTATAACATTAGAAGAAGGTATCAAAAAGAACAGAAAGATAATTAAGAATGGTAGAAGACAATTAACATGAAATATAATCGATTATATGTTCTCAAAAATGGAAGGAGGGAAGAGGTTCCATTACTTATAAAAAGTCATTATAAAAATACTGGCAGACAGCTAATTGTATTCAATGGGAGAAACAACTAGTCTGTGGAATTTTTGACCTATTAGTTTAATACTGGTGATGGGAATAACAGAATCGTTAATCAAAGATGTACTAGAAAAAATTTAGAAACTAAAAGTGTAATAAAGAATACTCAATCTGGGCTTCAAAGGGGGTGTTAATGGTTAATAACCTTATTGAATTATTTGACAAAGTCACAGAAAAGTCAGATAAGGGTAAAGTAGATGGAATGTATCTGGATTTTCAAAAAAGCTGTTGATAAGGTAAACTTTGAAAACTGCAATATATTAGATCGTCTAAAATCTGGACACATAAAGACAAGTAAGAGAATGGATAGCAAATTAGCAAAACAGAAACCACAGAGATGGGTGTATAGGTACTTAGATTGGCAATTAGTGGAATGTGGATTTTCAGGTTGGTTCTGGGACTAATGTTGTTCACTATTGACGTAAACAACTTGGTCACAAGAACTGAAAATATACAGAAGACACTGGGTATGTAGCTAGTACAGAGAAGGACAGGAAAATACAAGACAAATTTCATAAACTTTCAGAGTGAACACGGTATTGGCAATGAACATCAAAATGGATAATATCAACAGAAAATATTGGGAGTACTCAGGTATCAATCAGCATCTGTGGAAAAAGAAACAGTTCCATTTCAGATCATATATCATCATAAATCGTGATGAAATGCCATCAACTTGAAATATTATCTGCATAGTTCCTGGCTGACCTTGAGTACTTCCAACATTTTCTATTATTATTTTGGACTTAAAGCATCTGTTATATTTTGCTTTTGTACTAAGAGTATCTGTTCCCAATCATAAAGGGTGGTGGATGGTGCCCACACATAGGTGACCCCCATGATGTCTGCTGTGACAGGACTGATATTTCCAGTATGTATGGATTATCTCATAATGCATTGCGTGATGGACCTGGATACTCTGAGAACAGGAAAAATGGACCCACATCTGAGCTTGCAGGTACATGGCTGCTGGCAAACAACCGCTGGATGAAGAGTGATTCAGGCTTGGAGCTGAGGCCAGTCAATACTGGCTGCCAATTCCAGAGGAAGATCACTTTGTAACCTCCTCTCCAGGTACATCCTACTCCAGCAAGCAACAAAGTAAAGGTGGTCTATTGTTTCAATTATTTTCCTTTTGTAAGAGCAAGTAGCTGCTCAGAAGGAAGGGAAGCCTTGATTAGTCAAAATCTATCAGAAAGGTTTGATGCTTTGTTTCCACCTTGTGTGAATAATCAGTGTCATTATATCAGCATGACCATCTATGAGACAGGCAGCTGCTGTTGCCATTCTGTCACTGGGCAGTAACATAGCACTAGAATACTATGTACCAGCACCTGTAT